AGGGGAGGGATTTCTCAAAATCTATTGGGTTTCAAGGCCTAAGACTACCACCAATGTGTTTGGAAGGTGATTTCCAATAAGTTTCATAACAAATTTCACTTGATATGATGATGATTTGATAAAGTTAGAAGGGAAAGAAAATTGAAATGCAAATGGCCAAGGGGAGGGGGGTGTGGCGCGAGTTTGGAGAGAGAAAAGGAGAGGAAGGTGATGATGAGTAGTCCATGGACATGTGGCTTAAGTGATTTTAAGTGAGGTGGGCCTCACCGCCACCTCACGTGATTTTAAAATAATTCAAAACTCTCTCTGATTCCACTAAACGTCCATAATTTCATAACCTATTTAGAAACTCTATTTTCTAACATTAACCATTGTCCTTTAATTACCCTTGATCAGATGAATCCAGAGTTTTCCGGTCGTTCGGAGAAAATGCAGTTCTGAGCTGTTACGCGCGCCGTAGGTACGCTTCCCCAAACTTACTAATTTCTGTCAATTTCCATCAGAAATCATATTTCCTAGTCCTATATACCATTTATAACTTGTATTCAAAACTTAAATCTCAAAATTCAATCGGCACGCTTTACGGTGCAATTGTACCGCGATATTTTTACCCGGTAAAAATAATGTTCACAGAATTTTCTGAAACTTGCCTAACTACTCAATTTTTCGTTCTGAATCCATTTCCAGGGTTATTTTTATCATTTGAGACCTCCTACTCAATTTTATCTTCCTAGGGTTGCTTTTTTGGCTAATTACCTTTTACCCTTTCTTTTTGTTTTAACCTAATTTCTAGGATTTTCACTAATCCTTCCCTTTAATCCTCATTTAATATATTACTATATAATTTAGAAATGCGAGGTATTATATTCACCCATCCTTTTTGAAATTTTGTTCGCAAAATTAAATCATACCTGTCTGCTAACTCAGGATACAGCCAGAGAATCTCATACTCCCGCTCCCAAGTAGCCTCCTCAGGTGTACGTTCTTCCCATTGAATCTTTTGCATTGGAATATTTTTTTCTTCTCAGCCTCTTCTCACTGCGGTCAAGGACATCAACAGGACCTACAGGAGTCTTTAAATTCTCCCGAATCTCAATATCGTCCGGTATCGCCACATGTGATTCATCCAGAATATAATGCCGCAGCTGCGATACATGGAAAACATCGTGCAAATTCGACAACTGTGAGGGAAAGGCAAGCTGATAGGCCACTAATCCCACTCTTTTCATTATCTGATACGGCCCAATAAAATGAGGACTCAGCTTCCTCACGCCCAATGCACGGCCAACACCCGTAACTGGAGATAACCGCACAAATACATGATCACCTTCTTCAAATTTCAGCAGTCTGTGTCTATTATCATAGTAAATTTTCTGCCGATTCTGTGCCAGTTTAAGTTTTTCTCTGATCATTTCAATCTGTGCTGTAGTTTCTTGCACAAAATTTGGCCCAAATCTCTCTTTATCACCTACCTCAGTCCAACAAGTAGGAGTACGACATCTTCATCCATACAATGCCTCATACAGACTGGAATGAAAACTATTATTATAAGAAAATTCCACAAGTGATAAGTACCTGTCCCAAGCATTACCCTGCTCTAGTGTGCAAGCTCTCAGCATATCCTCAACTATCTGTACGGTCCTCTCAGTCTGACCATCAGTCTGCAGGTGATACGCAGTGCTCAGCCTGAGCTGAGTGCCAAAAGCCTGTTGTAAGGCTCCCCAAAAGCGAGAAGTAAATTTCGGGTCCTGATCACTAACAATGCTAACCGGTATCCGTGGAGCCTTACAATCTCATTTACATACAATTTTGCTAATTTCTCCGTAGAGAAATCTACTCGCATTGGCAAAAAATGTGCAGACTTTGTAAGCCTGTCCACTATAACCCAAATGGAATCGTAACAAGCCTGAGTCCTAGGCAAACCAACAACGGAATCCATAGAGATGCTATCCCATTTCCACTCTGGTATATCCAATGGCTGAAGTAAACCAGCAGGTTTCTGATGTTCTATTTTTACTTTCTGACAAATTAAGCACCTTGATACATACTCAACAACATCTTTTTTCATCCCAGGCCACCAGAATTTCTCTTTCAAATCTTGATACATTTTTGTGGCACCTGGGTGTATCGCATACTAACCCTTATGGGCCTCAACCATTACCTCCTCTGCTAACTCTTTGGGCACAACAATTCTGCCCTGATACATTAATAATCCCTGTTCATTCAAAGATATTCCAATGATAAACATGAGCTGGAAGCATATGATTTTGCATCTGGTAGCAGGGAATGGCAGAGATGACACTCTTGGCCAAAGTAATTCTGCCTGCCATAGATAAACATTTGGTTTTCCATCCTTGAAGTCTACTTTGCACTCTAAAAATCACATCAGCATAGTGATCTTTCTTAATTCTCCCATGCCTTATCAGAACTCCCAAGTATCGACTAAGGTTACTAACCTTTTTAAAACCACTGACAATAGATATGGCATCCACTGTCTCTTGAGGAGTATTTTTAGAGAAAAAAATACAAGATTTCTCTATACTCACGCACTGTCCTGACATACTAGAGAATTTCTTTAAACCGTTGATAATACTATTTAAATGGCTAATAGAAGACTCAGCAAATAATATGATGTCATCCGCAAACATTAAATGGGATATAAGTGGTCCAGATTTACCAGCTTTAATAGGGAGCCAAATCTTCATCTCCACTTCATCCATGATTAGGTGAGTGAGATTCTACACACAAAGAACAAAAAGATAAGGGGATAAGGGGTCCCCTTGTCTTATTCCCCTTTGAGACTGAAATCCAGGAGTTCTGGCCCCTTTCCACAGCACCTCAACAAAAGGGCTTGTAACACATCCCATCATAGCATCAATCATAGTTGCTGGCAGTTTCAGCTCTTCCAGGACTGATCTTATGAACCTCCAGTTGAGTTTGTCATAAGCTTTTTCTAAATCAATTTTGATTGAGAAAAAACTTTTCTTGCCCTTCATCCTATGCATTGAGTGAATAAGCTCCTGAGCAATTATTATGTTGTCCTGTATGTGTTTCTTTGGGACAAAGCTGGTCTGGTTTGGAGATATAATATTCCCCAAGAGAGGTTTAATTTTGTTGGCTAGAATCTTGCTAAGCCCCTTATACAAAGAGTTGCACAGTGCTATTGGCCTGAATTGCCTCATCAAACATGGTCTGTCAGTTTTAGGAATTAGAGAATCAGAGTCTTGTTAATTTCTTTAATCTGATCCGGATGCTGAAGACAGTGCTGCATACTAATGAAGATTTGAGCTTTGAGTAAATCCCAATTCCCTTGATAGAATAAGGCTGGAAGCCCATCTGGTCTGGGGGCTTTTAGGGGAGGCATTTGAAAAAATGCATTCTTGACTTCCTCAAAAGATATATTCAGAGACAACATAGTAAGATGGTCCTCCTTTATTGCTGGCCAGTTGTTTCTAGTTTGACTCCATACAGGATCTGCAACATCTTCCTTAAACAGGTTTAGGAAATATCCTCTAGCAAGTGAAACTAATTCCCCTTCTCCAGTCACCCAGACACCCTTCTCATTCTGGAGAATAAGAATTTTATTTTTTTCTTGCGAATCAGAGTGCTAGTATGATAGAAACGAGTGTTTCTGTCTCCATCTCTAATCCAAATTTGGTCCTCTTGGTCTAGTATTTCTGATAGCTCCTTCCTCAACTTAGTTTCCAACTCTTCAAATTGGTCACTGTTTTTAAAACTTAGTTGTCTTTGAATGCCTTCCATACGAGCTATTACTCTATTTTTCATGTGAAAAGTAAAACCAAAGGTATTCTTGTTCCACTCATTTAAGAAAGGGATGAAGGTCTCCACACTTTCCAGTAAGCTAGTTGAAGGATTCCAATTAGATTTTAGGAACTGGCTAAATCTAGGATCATTTTGCCAAGTTGCCAAAAACCTAAAAGGTCTTTCCCTCCAAACAGTATCCTCTTTCTCCATTCTAATAAGGATTGAGCTATGATCCGAGAAAAGCCTAGGAAGGACTAAGACATCAGCCTCCTCAAAACTTGCTCTCCATTCTTCATTAGCAACAGCTCTGTCAAGTCTTTTATATACTCTGTCTAGATGGAGGAATTTAGGTCCTTTCCATGTGAACCTATTGCCCCCACCCGCCAAATCCATATCCCCACAAGAATCCAGAACATTGTTGAACCTATTACATCGATTAACATCCACAGGCCCTCCTCCTCTTTTTTCTAAAGCAGAGTCTATTTCATTAAAGTCACCAGATAACATCCAGGGACCATTCATAGTTCTACCAATTTGCTTCAAATCTTCCCAAAGCTTCCTGCATTTATCTTCCTGAGGATTTGCATATACTGCTGTCCAAAAGAAGCTTGTCTTATCAGGAAACTCTACCTAGCTATGAATAAATTAATCATGCTTCTCAAGAAGAGAAATCTTCACATCAATGGGATTCCATACTATCCAGATCCCTCCAGCAAAACCTTTCGCATCAACAATTATGTAATTGGAGAATCCCAAGCTACGGATAATGCTAATAGCTTTATTACCACTTACTCTAGGATCCAAGATAGCAGCCACACCAACATTGTGTTTTTTTCGAAATCTGTTAAAGGTACTCTTAAATTATTTTTTTGTAGGACCTCTACAGTTCCAAGTTAGGACATTCATTGAGAATTTTGGGGGTGTTGCAAGATTCCAAAGTTCTTGCTACTTAGCTCTTGGCTTTCCACAAATGATTCCTGAAAACCAGCCTCACCCTCACCACTAACAGATTCACTAACAATCATAGTAGTATTCAGGTTTGTACATGAAGATAATTCAAACTCTATACCTGACTGAGCTTCAACCATCTTTAATGCTTCTCCGATATCTTGATCAGGGGGATCCGGGTCTTTCATAGCCTTATCATCATTCAACTTATCAGTAGAATGATTAATTTTAATTTGATCAGTGTTGCCATCTCCAGAAGAAGCTTCTACTGCCATTATTAAATCCCCCTATAGTTTACCTTTTTGCTGCTCAAGAGGAGGCTGAGACAGATTCAAATTAGGCCTTTGCAGAAAATATCTGTTGCTTACATCAAACTTTGTCGGGGCCACATGAATGACTCCCTTTCCTTTAGCATTAAGAGCCTTAGCAGACACTTTCTTTGATATTGGCATAGAAGATTTCAAACCTGAAGCTTTCTTTGCAGTATTAAAAGCCACTGCTATGAACTCTATCCCCCTAGCAGGGGACTGGCTGTTGTTCTTCATCGAATCATTCTCCTTATTCACCTTGGTATTAGAGGTACCAGCACCAGAGTTTTTTTCAGGGCTATTTTTCGGAATAACTTTCTCATTTTTCAAACCTATCTTTGGGCCAACCAAACTCTTCCTGTTAGATATATCCTCTCCAAATGATCTGTTGTTTCTCATATCCGATTTCTGGAAATTTTGGGGACCTTTCTTTCTTCTTTGAACCACCATCCAAGATCCTACCCCTTGAGGTCCAACATTCACCACAGGCTGTTCCTGCCCCTCTTCAGCTCTGGTTGTCGTGGTTGTCTTAACAAAATCACGACAAGAATCCGAATTATGACTATATCTTCCACACTTGAGACAAATTAAAAATAGCCCCTCATATTCAACTTTCTTTCTGCACCCATCAAGAATATATTCTCCTCTCAACGGCTTTGAAAGATCAATCTCTATGCAAACTCTCGCAAAATGAGCCTTGTCCCCAATAGAAGTGGTTTTATCCACTTTTAGAACTTTTCCTATCACTGTTCCCAAATGATTAAGAAACAGAAGTTCACTATATTCTTGAGGAATACCTGGTAAACGGATCCAGGCTGCTACCTTGTGAATATTAGCTTTTTCCGGATCGAAAGCATGGCTCCCATTTCCTAGTTGCAAGGTAATGGCCTAGAATGACCCATGGACCACCCATAATGGCTAGGTTAAGGTCTTCCAAGCTACTGAACCTCACTGAGAAAAAATCATTCCCCAGATCCGCCACTGTTATGCTTCCAGCCTTAGCCCACATAGACTCAAGTCTTTTCTTCATGAATCCGACCCCAATCTTCTTCCCCAAAAGCTTTACAATCAGAGCATTCTTCCATCGCTGACGCATCCTTGCTCGAGCTTCTTTGTTGCTCCTTATTTCCACTGATCCGTCCTCCCTTATTATTGTTTGAAATCCCCATTCTGTGATCTCTCCCAAACTTGGGTCCAGAGGTTCCAGATCTGGTTCTTCCTCTTCATGTATCTAGGGTATGGCATCTCCAGAAACACCATTATTTACCCCCGTTACTTCTGCAAATGATCTCTGTTTTCGATCCCCTGAGTTCCAGCTTGATACTCTTTCAAAACTTCTCGCACCCTTACTTCTGTTGGAATTTCTTCTCCATTCTTCGTTCGCTTAGTGCTTCTTCTAGACATGGACAATAGTTCATTATTGTTAACTATCGTATCCCCCATTGAAAACCTCGATGAAAAATTGGTTGAAAGAACCCTAGCAGAGAGAAAATTTTCGCGCGCATGAAAATACGCGCCTAACCCATCTTTTTCTAATGGGTCAATTGTTAAATTGGTCAGTTTGCATCCACTTTTTACTTTAAGCGCTATGTTCCTTTTCTAGCGTTTTTATAAATGCATTAGAAAGGAATATAATATATGAATTTTAATTATTATATAAAATATTTGATTTATAATTAAATTAAAATTCCACCATTCTTAATTTATAATTAAATTCCTAAATCTGATTTTAATTTTTGTAAATATAAATTTATAAAATCTCAAATATTAAGGACACAAATCCTTGCAAAAAGATAATTGTTTATACTCATTAATCTATGTGAAAAGAATTTCTCCAGTCACTCGAGATAATTTTATCTCCAGCGAGCTCAAAATGATGTCGTTTGGATTATAAAATTAAAAATTATAATGATAAAGACTTATATAACCCCTCCAATATATTAAAATTACAAAAATACATTGATTTTCGTCCAAAAACGATGCGTTTTGGGTTCACTGGAGATAACTTATCTCCATTGACTGGTGGAATCATTTACCCTTAATCTATATATTAAAATAGAATGTCATTATTTGGAAGTTTGCTGACGTGTCACTTTCTCCTTCAATTTCATGTTTGTGTTTACACTATAAATCATTTAAAATCTTTCCTCCTTTAGTAAATTTGCACAATTCGAAACTTAAACTTGATTAGGTGGGAAATGAGTTCAGCATTAATTGTTGGCAGACATCTGTATTAATATCCCACAACTTTTTTAAAATTTGAATTTTAAACTTGATATAGGTGGGAAATCACGAATTTAAAACTTGATATATGTAGAAAAAGAGTTCAATATTTTTCCGTGGCAAACATTTATGTATGTTTCTTACTACTTATTGTATAAAAAATTGTTAAGCCTATTAGTATTAATTATTATATCTATTGAGTGAATAAATATTTAATATTCATAATTTAAACTTTTTAAATTTGAATTTTGAACTAGACATGAGGGAAAAGAGTTACGCATTTAATATTTATGCAGTAGGAAAAAGATATATATAATAAATTTAAATTTAATATAAAATTTTAGATTAATTAGTAAAATATTAAAAATTATAAAAATACATTTATATTTGATAAAAATTAATTAAAATTTCAAATTTAAATTAAAAAATAAGAAATGACATTATTTATACTTTACAAAAAATAAATTAAAATTTTAACATAAAAAATAATACAGAAAGAGAAAAAATATTTCGTATAAGTATTTTTTCAAAAAATATTTAACATAAACATTTTAAATATACATATATAATCAATTCAAAAAATATATAAAAATCATAAAATAAAATAGAAAAATTATAGTTAATATAAAATTTTTATATTTTATATTTAAGTAAAAAATGATGTATGTCATTCTCTGAAAAAACAAATTATTAAAATTTTAGAACGATAAAAAGGAAAATTTTAATTTAGTACATAAGAAAAAAATTAAACTTTCATTTTTTTAATGCAAGAGTGTAATTAACACAAATACTTGTAAAAAATAATTACTTAAATAAAATGCTGATAGCTAGAGGTGAAAAACTGGGCTTGACCGGGAGGGCCGGCCCGTCAATATATTTTTATAATTCTATTAAAATTTTATCCTTCTTCTTTTATAATTAATTTCCTGAATCTGATTTCAATTTTTGTAAATACAAATTTGTGAAATTCCAAAGACTAATGACACTAATCCTTGCAAAAAAATAACTATTATATAAAATGCTAGCAGTTAGAGGTGAAAAATTAGGCACGGCTCAGAGGGCCGGCCTGCCCTGCCCTCCCACACGTTTTTATAATTAAATTAAAATTCCACATTTCTTCTTTTATTATTAAATTCCTAAATCAGATTTCAATTTTTGTAAATACAAATTTATAAAATTCCAAATACTAACGACACAAATCCTTGCAAAAAAATAATTTTTTATTATTAATTTGTAAATCTAATTGTAATAAATGAAAGTTCATCTATGAGATAAAATAAAAAAACCTAGACGCAACTATAAGAGTCTTTTTGTGTGGATAAATATAAAAATCTATTACATGCTAATAGTTAGAGGTGGCAAACTGGGCTCGGCCCGGAGGGCCGACCCACCAACATATTTTTATAATTAAATCAAAATTTCATCCTTCTTCTTTTATAATTAAATTCCTAAATCTGATTTTGATTTTTGTAAATATAAATTTGTAAAATCTTAAATAAAAACAAAACAAATCCTTGCAAAAAATAATTATTTGTTAATATTTTTTAAATCTTATTGTAATAAACAAAAGTTCATCTCTGATATAAAATATAAAAACCTAAATGTGACTATAAGAACCTTTTTTTGTGGATAAATATAAAAATTTATTGCATGCTAATAGTTAGAAGTGACAAACTGGGCTCGGTCCAGAGGGTCGGCCCACCATCATATTTTTATAATTAAATTAAAATTTCATCCTTCTTCTTTTATAATTAAATTCCTAAATCTGATTTTAATTTTTGTAAATACAAATTTGTAAAATTCAAAATACTAATGACACAAATCCTTGCAAAAAAATTAATTTTTTACATAAAATACTGATAGTTAAAGGTTGCAAACTGGGCTTGGCGAAGAGGGTCTGCCCGCCCTGCCTGCCAACCCATTTTTATAATTAAATTAAAATTTTATCCTTCTTCTTTTATAATTAAAATTTTCAAATACAAACGTCTCAAATCCTTGAAAAAATTAATTATTTATTATTATTTTTTAAATCTGATTGTAATAAACGAAAGTCCATCTCTGAGATAAAATATAAAAATGTAAATGTGACTATAAGAACATTTTTGTGTGGAAAAATATAAAAACCTATTGCATGCTGATAGTTAGATGAGGCTAACTGGGCTCGGCCCGGAGGGCTGGCCCACCAACACATTTTTGTAATTAAATTAAAATTTTATTCTTCTTCTTTTATAATTAAATTCCTAAATTTGATTTTAATTTTTGTAAATACAAATTTTTAAAATTCCAAATACTAACGACACAAATCCTTGTAAAAAGATAATTATTTATTATTATTTATAAATCTGATTGTAATAAATAAATGTCCATCTCTGAAATAAAATTTAAAAACTTAGATGGAAATATAAGAACTTTTTTGTGTGGATAAATATAAAAATTTATTACATGCTAGTATATAATGCTGACTATTAGAGGTTGCAAACTGGAGTCGGTCCGGAGGACTGGCTCGCCAATATTTTTTTATAATTAAATTACAAAATTTTTCGTATTCTTTTATATTAAACATAATAACTCAAAAATTTGCCAAGTCTATATGTACAAAAATTTGGAGTTAGGTAGCTAACAATATTGATTTAAATATAATACAGAGATATATTTTTATGATTTGCATTAACTTTTACGAGACATGTAACAGCCCGTTGTACACCGGTATTGTTAACATTAATTATAATATTAAGCCCAGTTACATTCACAAAATTTCTTTTATAAAATGCGAGCAAACTTTTTCTCTTTTATTACGCGAGCATTTAAAACAATAATAACGAGTAACAAATAAAGGCTGTGACCGTAACTTTAAACGCTTCGCGGAATAATTATTTAAACTACTTTTCTATCGTTTTGTTACATCTCTCAAGTCTCATTCTATCCATGTTTCATACTAAATGCCTCTCAAGTCCTCAATTCCTAATTATGTTATAGATTTATTCGTTAGCTTCGCCTGGGTTCAAATCGCGCTCAATTTGGAGCACCGTAGCCCAAGATATGAATTTTCTAAGAAAAAGGATGCTGATTGCACAGGACCCCGCGCTGACAGCGCCAGATCCCGCGCCAGAGGCAGTGAGGATGGCGCTCATAGCGCCAGATTGGCGCCCATAGCGCCAAAATCACTGCCTCCTACTGATGGGTGGCGCTAATAGTGTCAACCTGGCGCCAAGAGCGCCACAGTTCTGAAGGAAGGCACAAAACAGGGAAGATTCAACCTATCTTGGTATTTTATCCATAACTTGAGTTATACTAATCGTATGGACACAAAATTGGTCTTGTTGGAAAGGTAAAAGAAAGATCTATAACTTCCATGAAGGCCAAGGGGTCCAGTTATATCATATAGGGGTGAAAATTGGGCATCACTCTATTTATGTTTTAGAAATTTTGCCAGAGTCTCCTTTGTTTTTCCAATAAATCCCAAATTATGAAAAGTGTTCTCTAACCTCAATTTGTACCTAATAATCATTGGATGGCATACAAGGACCAGCAATGCCTTGGTGCTCTTACAACCCATCACAGTTTAGATCCTATTTCATCAATATGCTCAGTTCATGCTTACTTTCTCAAGTTAATCAATTTCAATCACAATATTCATTTGCATGCTTCTTGCCACATAAAACATAAATCAATCCTAGAATAGGCCTATTGCCCTTTCATCATATTACATACTTTCATATTACATCACGTCTTCATGTACAATTTACAAACCCTCCAAATGACATATTACAATTTACAAATCATAACCTTCAAATAAAACATGACAATCAAGACTAAACTTAGACAAAATACATCATGAAAAAAATGATAACAACAATCCTAATCATATGCATTGTTCATGACCTAAGTCTAGCCTAGACCCAATGGCCAACAAAATGCAAAATAGGTAGTCCTACCTCGAAATCATCCTACGGGCTTCTTGCCCGCCGCTCCATCACCACTGCTACTTCCTGAAATAAGGTCCCAAAAGCGGGGTGAGATATACGAATATATCTCAGTAACCCAGAGGTTCTGGAGAATATTCCGCCCAATGGCTCACTTTGATGCATATAAATAATACAACATAACATCTGAAAACAGGATAAAACAAGGGATTTAGTGAAATAGGGGAGCATAGGGATACAAAATACGATGAAGCTGGATTGGTTAATGCCAAAACCACGCAACGTCCAGCCTATTGG